TAACCCAAATTCCAATTCCAAACCCATTGCTGCTACTATATGCCAGATAACACGTATTTCTATACGTATCTGATTGATGACTAGCCTTAATCGAAAGTTCTGCCACCAAATGGCACCGCAGGATAATCAGTTACGACGACCCGGGGCCCTCTGAACCGAGTGGTTTTGCCGTCAAATGGCACCACGAAATACCGGTTATGGCCAGAGCCAATACGTTCCTTATTGGCATCAAATCCTTGAGATATGAATCAATAGGATATGATCAATAGGGCACAAAGCCCTCTGTTAGCTAAGGTGGATTCAAATTTGTCCCCTTAGACAAACACCCACCCTAGATCTACAAGGTCCCCTTGGACGAAGCAACCCATGGTTGCCGACAAGGATCCTTCTGTCAGGTTGGGTCGACTACCTCCTCCGACTAAGTAGACCAGGGACCATGATGGCCTGGGACGATGGAACCATGGGATCTTGATCGGACCCATCATCCATTCCCCCACTATCCGCTTTAAGTGCAAGATGGTGCAATTTCAATTTTAAATATCAAATCCCCCAAAATCTTCAATCTTCCAAACCAAATTCCAATTCCAAACCCATTGCTGCTACTATATGCCAGATAACACGTATTTCTATACATATCTGATTGATGACTAGCCTTAATCGAAAGTTCTCTCTTGTGATCGGGAGGGGTAATTAACTATAGGGGCTTGCGCCTATAGGAAACTAGAACTTAGATCATAAAGTCCTCGCAAAATGAGGGCGAAATCTCTGGGTAGTGTCTTATCTACAAATCCATCTGCCTTCCAAAATTTACCCCGGAACTAAATCCATTAAAACTCCCTCGCCAAAGACAAAAGCATAATCTGTTGTGCGGCGGGGAGGCCGGAGCCGAATTTTTGGAGCCCACAATATCATATGATATAAATTATACATTGGACGACAACGAATAGAAGTTGATTGATTTGAACTTATACTTGAACAAAATAACACGAGAACTTGAACTAAAATGAATTCCCAGAGAACAAGATTTTAGAACTCTAAGATACATATTGAACTTGAAGTTAAAACTGCTAAACAATGGTTTAATGCATTCAAATGAACATTAATGAATAAACATGAGACTTGTGGTGGAGGGAATTTCAAGAAAATGAAAGCTTTAATATGTACCATAACCCACACATAAACAACTAATAATTTCCAATGAATGTCAAAATATGCCATGACGGTTGGAGTGCGGACATCAATGAGCAATATGTATTGTAATAATCACTTTCAAAGACACCAGCTGACTTGCAGTATACATAACATGTCACTCATAAATTTCATTAATAGACATGTGCTAGGCTAGTTTAGGGTGAAACCGTCCAGCCGGCCCAAGGGCCAATCAGTTATTCTATCGGAGGCGATAACAGTCCGCCTCCCATGGTTTCGTCCGCCCAAAGGGTGGGCCCCACTTGTCCACTTGAATTCAAATTGAAAAGGAGGGTGTGACTAGGGCTTGAGAGGGAAATTAGATTAGGAAAGCTTTTGTATTAAAGAGCATGAGAGGATTAGGGGGGGGGATTATGTTGGATTGGTTCTCAATTAGGGTTTCTTGACGGCTTCGGCTCTAGATTCTCTTGTCTAGACATTTGGGAGAGACGATCCTCCTCTTGAATTGAGGATCTCTTGTATCTTTGCTTCGTTCTTGTTTCGCTTTGCTTTCTATAAGATTATATATGGTTTAATTGTTCTTCCACTCTATTTTCTATGGTTTTATCGTTGTTTTACCGATTATTGTTAGGTTTGCTTGCGAACTCATGTATTTCCAATTAGGGTTACTTGCGAACTCAACTATTTCCTATCAACATGCAATGAGCATAATAATTCCATACAAAAAAATGGTTCACCGTCTATGGACGAAGGTGGTTAATATGTGATGAATGACACAACTATTTGCATTCAAGATACGAATACATGCATTCAAGCCTGCAAGAAATGAAAATTAAGAAGAAACATGGTTGTGGGGAAATATGCACGAGTCTTTAACAAATGTGACAACAACTTGTAGGTAATATCAAGATATAAACGAATATGCTTGACATTACAAGCAATAAAAGTGGAGGGGATATTCATGAATGAAGCATGAGTATGTAACAAACTACAACGCACATTACATATTGCATACAGGAAAGGGTATAAGCAAGGACAATGCATTGACAAAGCATACAATCTCCTGCAAGAAAAAGTATTCAACCCTACAAGCAACAAAGCCTCCCTCCTCCAGAGTGATGAGGAAAATTCACCTGTGCTCGCCTAGAGCGAATCTTTCATCTTTCTAAAGTAAGCTGAACTTCGTAGCACTGGTACTTCTCTTTCTAGATTGGAATTAAACCCCTTCAATCACATTGAATTCGTATCTATAGTGAAGCGTATGATAAATGCCAACTTCTGCTGACGACAATGGGAGATGTGTTGTATGTATAATGATACACTTGTGAGTGATGATCGACAGTAAGTGGCTAATGATACAATACCCTTGAAATCATGTGCCACCCAACATTAAATATATACACTGTCCTCCCGCAAGTAAAGACACATGACATATGGCAAAATGTAAGCACTTACGAATCATTGCAGGAGGTCTGTCACATGCACTACATGCTACTTGCGAGAATATACAAAGCAACTATAAAAAATGCAAGCTTCTAAGTGCCACCATATACAAAATGTCATCCATGAACAAATACAAATGATATGCAGTAAATGTAAGCTCCTATGAATCATTGTAGGAGATCTACCACATGCACTACATGTCACCTACCAACAAATACATAAGAGGTACGATAGATGCAAGCTTCTACGAATTACCGTAAAAGACCTATTACACATCCAAAAATGCCCCCCACATGTATACACAAACACAAAAGTGCATACGCGCACATATTAGCTCTATACATATAAAATCATAAGCCTGCATGGGCCCCGACAAGCGTGCTATGTGTACACACGTGATGTCTTGGAATGTTGTGCGTGTCAAATGATGAAGCTATGTTCGAGACCAATCCTTCTATGCAAATAGAGAGGAGTCGACACGGCTCTAGTTATTAAACTCTACAACCTCAAATACCCGAAAGCCTTAAATTCCAAAAATCCCAAAAATTAAAATATTTAAAAATTAAAATATTTAAAAATTAAAATTAATCATTAAAACACTTAAAGCAAAACTTATCAATGCTCTACAATAGTTTGTCGAGGAGGATAAATTTGAAAATACACTTCAGCTCACAAAGAGCTAGTGTCTGGTCGAGAATACCACTAGGATTCATTCTCACATATTAGTAAGGACGTAGCATGTATCCTCTATCTAGCAATTTTGCTGCTAAATTGTATCGCAGGTAACCAGTTATGTCTGGGGCCCTCTGAACCAGGGGTTTTGCTGCTAAATAACACATCTAAATTATGTTTATGGCCAGAGCACGTAAGCTCTCAAATGACATCAAATCCTTGAGATATTAATAAATATGATATGATCGATAGGACACAAAGCCCTGTATTAGCTAAAGTGGATTCATATTTGTACCATTAAACAAATATTAACCCCAGGTCTACAAGGTATTCTTGGACGACGCAACCCATGGTTGTTGACAAGGATCCTTTTGTTAGGTTGGGTTGATTACCTCCTATGACTAAATAGACCAGGGACCACGACGGCCCGGTACGACGAAACAATGGGATCTTGATCGGGCTCATCATCCATTCCCTTGCCATCCTCTTTAAGTGCAAGATGGTTAAATTTTTCAATTTTAAACATTAAACTCTCAAACACCTAAACCCATGCTGCTATTATATGTCATATAACATGTATCTCTAAATATATGATCAACGACTAGCCTTAATCAAAAGTTCTCTCTCGTTATCGGGAGGGGTAGTTAACTATAGTGTTTTGCGTCTATAGGAATCCAAAACTCAGTTCATAAAATCATCGAAAAATGAGGGCGAAATCTCTGTATAGTATCTTATATACAAACTCAATCTGCCTTACCAAAATTTAGGCTAAAGCAAAAAGTGAAAGTGTCTTCTAAGCTTTGGCAATTGAAACTCACTTTCCACCTTTTTGAAAGTAAGTGTTAGGCATGATAAGTTCCATCCAATTTCATCAAAGCAAATGCTTGAACCTAATTTTGGATGTGAGATTTCAATTGCTTCCAACCACTTTCAATGGAACAATTTGGCCTTAAATGCATTTTAATATTTTAATGTATGAGGTAGTCAAGTGATGAACTAAATAGGACTGTTGATGCGTGGTTTAGAGTGAAAGCTTCAAATAAACTTACTGTCATGTGATTAACTTAATAATTGTACTGGTTTCAGTCGTGCCTGATATAAAACTGTTGGAGTTGACACGTAAAAAGTCTTTTTGACTAGCATCAGTAAATGAACTGTTTTCAAAAAGTGAAGGTATCTTTTAGCCCGATTAGGTGTTTTAAATAAATTATTTTTTGATGTTAGGCTATCATTGAGGGTAAGTTACACCTCGTTAGATGCCACAATGGGTTATTGAAAATTGGTTTCTACTCTAAATAAGGAGTTGCTATTTTATGTGTATGTATGGATACAGTGGATTTAGTTTAATCATTCAGTCGAAAATAACTTATTAAAAACTATTATTTTGATTTCTCGATACTTCATGTAATTGAAGCACTAATAATTGGTATAAAAATTAACATCTATTAAGAACAAATTATTGTTAAATAGATTTAGGTGATTTTGGCATATACAACTAAGATTTGAAGATGTGCCAATACGATGGATGGATGAATCCAATTTTAGGATTAAGTGGAGAAAATGGTATAGATCGAAAGTAATTTTAATTGAAGTTGCAAAGGTTTCTATAATGTAGATTTAACTTCTCATGTAAAACTCAACATTCATAAATGAAGAACAAGGATTCATCAAAATTTAGGATGATAGGCCAATTTTCTGTTAACAATCAGACCTGACTCTGACTCTTTGTACTGCAGGTTTCAGAGAGAAAACCTTCGCAATTATTGGTGTTAAAGTATATGCTGCAGGATTCTATACTAAATCTTCTATTAAGCTGACTTTGGATGCTTTGAAAGGAAAACCTGCTGGCACTGTTTTGGAGGATTCATCACTTTTTAAGTCAGTTTACCAAGGTGTAGTACTAAAAGATTTGTAATTGTTTGTGGACGCTATAATAACTTCTATTCTGATGTTCATTCTGTATTAAATAGCTCCGCTGGATAAGTCCCTTTGGATAATACTTGTTCGACATGTTGATGGCCAGACCTTTTGGAATGCCCTGAACGATGTTATCTCCCCAAGGATAAAAAAACCCACAGCTGTTGATGAATCTGCATTATCAACTTTCAGAAATACATTTCAAGGTCGTGATCTTATGCAGGGGACCTCAATTTTTTTGACCTGGACTCAGCATTCAAATATGCTGGTAAGAACGCAACTATCTCATAATACTAGTTTTTCATTGGTTAGTGTGAATGAAACATATTTTGACTAAAAGTTAATTGAAATTATGTTTTGTAGGTTTCTATTTCTTCTGATGGATTTCCTACTGAAGTTGATGCTAAAATTGAATCACCAAATGTCACATTGGCCCTTTTTGATGCATTTTTTGGAGATTCTCCAGTTTCCCCTACGTTGAAGGTATCGGTGGCTGATGGACTAGCAAAATATTTATCTTAAATTCACAATCGAGTAAATTTGATTGTACTCTTTATGCGTAATATTTTTTATTAAGATTCAGAATATGAGTTTATCTTGACAATATTGAATTTTCTGTTCTTGTTTTATACTTCATTGTTAGTACCTTCAATTTTCTTTGGAATGTCTGCACACCCTGAAGGTTGTATCCGTTTTTTTTGATTTAATTAGTTGCCTTTGGCATTTTCAAAAAAAAAAAATAGAATGTTGAATCGTCGTTATTTAAGGACTACAGATTTGAAGTCTTAAATTGTCTGTCTAAAGATGGGCGTTCTTTTTGTTAAATTTTGTGTTTTTCTTTGAGTCAGATCCATTCAGGTTTATTTGTAAAACAGCTTTTCTTTTTCAAGTTTCAATCTAACAGTGGATCACATGGGTTATAAAAGCTTCCAACAGTCCAATATAAAATTTAATGCAAAACCATTAGACGACCACTTTTCAAAATGAAGATCCATAACATTGGATAATTACCTCTGAAATCTTTGTTATTGTTAGAAATTCTAATAATCTAATCAGAAGGCCAAAGGACTGTGGTTGCACTTTAAATGAGACGGTCAAATTTCAATTTTTGCCTCCAACACACAAAGTAAAATAACACATAAAAAAATTATAGTGTTCCAATGAGGGGTCCTCACCACATTAGACCTCACAACCAGCTCTCTCCTCATCAACTATCACAGCAACAGGTTTTATGGCCTAACTCAAGAATTATGAATACAAATGCTGGAATAATAGATAGTTGTATAGGATTTTTTAATACATCTACTAGCATAAACAAAAAATTAAAATAATTTATCAGAAAGCTAATTTATCAGAAAGCTTTTTTCACAATCAACTTCTAATGCATTAAAAAAGTCACAAATACATAAAATTTTACTTGCTCCAAAATGATTACTAACACACCATACTTTTAAAAGCTAGAGAGAGAACGTCTGGTGCGATTTTTAGAGAGAGAAAGTTCTTTCCTTTTCGAATCCGATTTTGCACGGGTAATCCGCGTTCGAAGGGATCGTTGCCGGATGATCGCCGGCGGTGTATAACTGGCGCGTATGATGGCTCCGCGACCACTGGCCCTTTACAGGCCAATGGTACAGGATCGAATGGTATCGTGATTAAAGAAGGAGTTAGACTTATGAGACGTCAAGATCCTGTTGAAGGCAAGGGGAAGAAGGTTTTAATGGATGATTTGGCGGTTCAGAAGAATGGGGAGATCTAGTGTAATCCAGGTTTGGTTACTCTGGATTATTCGGCTTCGGATAATGTAAGTTTGAGGGTGAAGAATTTTTCTGGTGTTCTTGATACGCACGGTGGGCGTATTATTGGTAATGATCTGAATTCGGCGGAAGGTCAGGAGAATATTGATTTGCTGGATCATTCTTTGATCCATGTGAAGGATTCAGCCAGTTTTGAAAGCCTGGCGAACAAGAAGAACGATAGTTATGGACAGAATGGTGTTGATGAAGTTGCTGATGCGTGGTCGATACTGAAGCCTATCAAAATTTCGATCAACAGAGACTAGGTTGAATTTTTTGAAGATGGTGTTGCGGTCAGATTGAATGCAAAGAGGGAAGCAGAGAATTCAAGAATTTCGAAGAATTCGATTGTGATTAAAGTCTTGGGTAATAACGTGCCCTTCTCGGTCTGTAGTTTAGAATTGAGAAGGCAGTGGACCAAATATGGAGGTTTTCACTTGACGTCGATTGGAATGAACTGGATTTTGTGTTCATTCAAGACGAGTGAGGTGGTAGATGAAACACTGAATGGAGGTCCGTGGTATGTGAATGGGTTCATTGTTGGTATGGATAGATGGACTCCGATGTTTGATCCAAATTCCTTTAAGGGAATCTCTACTCCCGTTTGGATTAGACTACCGTGCTTGCCTCTGTACTACTGGGATGAAGATAGTATAGCAAGAATAGCTTCGTGCTTTGGCTCACCAATGTACTTAGATGTCAATACCTTTCGCTGGAGTAAACGTGAATTTGCCCGTGTTTGTGTGAAGATTGAATTGGAGAAGAAACTGCTGAATGGTGTTTGGGTCGAAGGTTCAGTTGGGAGGTTTTTTCAAAGGGTGGAGTATGAGAAAATTGATCTTCTTTGCTACCAATGTGGTAAAGTGGGTCATGATACTAAGATATGTCCAGATAATGTAACTCTTGGCATATAGGATCAAACAAGGAAGAAGATGGATACAATCATAGGGGAAGGGATGAAGGATGCTCTGGAAAGCAATCCTTCTGTGATCAGTGCTGAATATGGTCTATGGATTCATGTCCATTTCAAAAACAGAAGATTTAAAAGGGATCTTGCTACTGGAAGAGGTGTGAAGAATGATAGAAATAATTCTAAAAGGGATCTTGTTACTGAAAGCGGAGTTATCAACAACAATCAGGTGGAGATAGTCAATATGAGGACAGAGGATGCTAAAGCTGTTAAAAAAGCAGATGTGGCTCAGGTGGAGATAGTCAAGACGAGGACAGAGAATGCTAGAGTTATTAAAGAAGCAGATGTGGCTCCATAAAATAGCTCTGTTAATCTGAAGATGACTGGTGTTGAGACGGTTGATATTCATTCAGCCAATCGTTTTGCTGTAATGGTTGATAAAGATGTTGAGGAAGGTATTGAAAAGCATGGTGAATTTTCTAAAGCCCTGGACAAAAGTTTGGATATATCTGAACCTGGTGATAACCATATTGGTTTGGGTTCTCATAGTGGTGTTGCCAAGATTAAACTAGCCAAGCAATTGAGATTTTTGGGGCCGGTTGAGCCTGACCATAAAAAGAAGAAGAAGGATAGGAGATTGAACCCTAGCAGTGTGGAGAGATCTTCGATACCTGGTTAAATGTCTTCCATCTTATTTTGGAATTGCAGGGGAGCCAGGAAGAGGGAGGCTTCCTTGTATCTGAAGGAGATTGTTAGAGATCAGGATGTGTTCTTCGTTGGGCTTATGGAGACCAAGTTGTCTAATATTGATAGAAGGGAGGTTGATTATCTTATTGGGAGTGATTGGGAGTTTTTTCACTACCCTGCTGTTGGTACAGCTGGTGGTATTTTGGTGCTTTGGAATAGGAATCTGGTGACCTTTGATGTTATGGTGGCTACCTCACAGGTTTTCATTGGCAACCTTTTAATTCCCATCTTGGGAACTTGGAGAATTGCTACTGTTTATGGTAATAAATGTTGCAAGGAGAGGGGAGGGCTTTGGAGTAAATTAGAGAAGAGTTTGGAAAATGATATTCCTTCTATTATAGGAGGAGACTTCAATTGTATCATTGACAAGGAGGAGAAGAGAGGAGGTAAGAGGTTCTTGTTCTCTAAAGGACCTAGGGAGATGAAGGGCTTTATGATGAACTCTGATTTTCATGATGTTGGATGTGTGGGGCCATGGTTTACTTGGTGCAAAAATAAGGAGGGTGCTTCTCGGATCTGGGAAAGGCTGGATAGATGCATGTTTAATTCTGTTGCTATTTAGAGAATTCCTTTAGCGATTACCAGACGTCTTGCGAGATTGGCATCTGATCATTGTCCTATAGTTGTTAAGATGGATGAAAAGGTGCGGTTCAAGTCAAAGATTATCAGATTTGAGGATACATGGAGGTCCTACCTAGCGGCCAAGAGTATTGTTTACAACTCCTGGAGGAAGAATGATTTCGGAGATGAGTATACGATCCTGCAGAGGAAGCTTAGCTACACTTTGAAATCCTTATTTTTTTGGAATAAAAATAAGTGTAAAGATTTGATTGTGTTAAAGGAGAAGTTGAAAAAAGAGACCCTTGAGCTTCAGAACAAGGAAGCTTTGGGTGTCAATTGGTCGGTTGATGATCTTTTTTATGCTTAGAAATAAAGTCCATGAACTTAATGCCACCTTATAGAGGCTTTCCACATGGTGGAATCAAAGGGCAAAGGCTAGGTGGCATGAGGAAGGTGATACAAATTCCTAATTATTTCATAACTATGCCTCGGCTAGGAGAAATGGGAATAGCTTCATTCAAATTAAAGACGAGCTTAACAATGTGTATGATGAGGATGAGCAAATAGAGAAGGTATTCATCAATTTTTTTGAGAAGAAATGGAAGCACAGTGAGTGTAAAGTGATGGGTTGGCCTACAGTTTTTGAAAACCAGAAAATTGCAATTGATGATATGGATGTGCTCAATGCAGATTTTTCAGTTATTGAGCTGCAGAATTCAGTTTTTCAGCAAGGCAACAACAAGTCCCAGGTTTGGATGGTGTCACCTCTTCTTTTTACAAGAGCTATTGGAGTATTGTGTGGGTGACTCTTTGGAATGCAGTTAATTGCTTTTTCAAAACCTGCCATATGCATAGGGAGTGGAAAAATACATTGATTGTCTTGATCTCTAAGATTAAGAATCCTATGACTCCTAATTTTAGGCCTATTAGCCTTTGCCAAACTAATTATAAAATCATGGCTACCATGTTAGTTAATAGATTGAAGAAGGTTATCTCCAAGATGATTTCAGAGGAACAAGTGGCGTTCATCCATGGAAGATCTATTGCGGAGCATTGCCTTTTGGCTCAGGAGATCTTTCACAAATTCAGAATTTCTAAGAATAAGAAGGGCTTAATGGCTATTAAACTCGATATGGAGCAAGCATATGATAGTATGAGATGGGCATCTCTTCGGCACACCCTGGATTGGTATGGTTTTCCTACTGAATTTTTTAAACTTCTCATGGAATGTGTTGTTGAGATTCTCTATTTTCATCAATGGGAGGAATTCTAATTGGATTGATGCTCAAAGTGGATTCCGTCAGGGATGTCCACTTTCACCGTACCTTTTCATATTATGTTCTCAACTCTTGTCCAACTCTCTTGTACATAGGGGACAGAAGCTTGGCATGCAAATTTCTCCCAGAGGACCTTTGATTACTCACCTCCTCTATGCAGATGATGTATTAATATTTTCTCATGCATCTATGGACTTAGCTAAAGCTTTGAAGACTATTGTGGAGGACTTTGTAAGTGGACTGGACAAAGAGTGAATGTAAGCAAATCTCAGATGATATTTGGCAAGGTGGTTAGGTACTCCATGAAGAAAAGAATAGCTAAGGTTCTTGGTTTCAAAGTTGTCAAAGAGATGAAGTATTTGGGAGTG